AATGGTTCAGAGAACCGGTACGTTGATAAATTAGACACATGTGCAACTCTTAAGTATCGTTAAAGATACCCAAGAGTTGCACATGTGTGTAATTTATCAGTGTTTATGTTCATATTCTCATTCATTTAATTAACCATAAATACACATGAGATGGCGAATCTTACATGACATTATTGCTTACATCATGTAGTTTATGGTTGTGTGGAGAGGCTGGGTGAAGAGACCAAGAACATCTCCTCTTCGTCTCATCTCCCAGACCACAATATAAAACCAATGTATTTTAGTACCTGTTGGCTACGTTTAAGAAGATAACCTCTGAAGACCAATCAAAATAATTCTAATGAGTTATCGTAATATTTTTTTGTAATGTTTAGTTGAGAGGGCATCGAAAATCACTTTTCAAGTTGTGTCATGTTTCAGATTTGATCTCAACCAAAGCTGAAGAAATGCATGTGGCCCATGAACTGTTTTAAAGTTACCATTGGCTAACATTTCGTACATTGGTAAGTACTTACAGTTTTTATTAACGATTAGTAAAGCCGTCTGACACAGAAGCGAAGGAGGAAGTCTATGGAACTAGTTCAGTAGACACTTAAAGTGAATCTGCACATTGCTTCCATTGTTACTATGTGTGTGTGTTTACAACCGTGTAAATTGACTTCATCACCTCACTCACTTGATGTAACTAAGCACAGATTGAAAGGTCATAGTGAAAGCTATGTCTGCTGCTTTGTCTTTCGTTGGACACTGTCTGTCGTACGACTCTGTATTAAGTTTTATTGCTACGTTACGACAATGATGCTGTGCCCCTTCGTTCGAATTTCATCGTTGTAACTAATAACGTTATTACTAATAACGTTATTATTAATAACTGTGTCTTAACCAAGTAGTTGAGGGATGAGCACACTTAACACCTCAAAATATCCGAAAGTTAAGCCAAAGAAAACCAACTTTTTATCAATATTAAATATGGCGAAAAACACTTCGCTCCAAATAGCATCTTCACTTTTCCTCTCAGCTCTACGAGTCATTCTCCCCATTTTCTACCGAACTCACGCATTCCCTTACCCATAAAATATTTTCGATCCCACTAAGGAAGGTCTCAGTAGTATGAGATACACTGCACTGAAGGCTCTGGTGGCCTGGTGGTTAACGCTCTCGTTTCACACGGTGAGGGCCTGGGTTCGATTCCCAGCCAGAGTAGAAACATTGGACGTGTTTCTTTCCACCTGTTGTCTATGTTCCCCATCAGTAAAATGGGTACCTGGGTGTTAGTCGACTGGTGTGGGTCGCATCCTGGGACACTGACCTAAGGAGGCCTGGTCACAGACCGGGCCGCGGGGGCGTTGACCCCCGGAACTCTCTCCAGATAAACTCCAGAAATACCTAGCTCACTCCACACATATTCCCATCAGTAATGGCCAGGAGCTGTGTAGAATGTTGCCACTTCTGTTAGATGCGACAACCTGTGTTCCAGTACGGAAGACCATTGTCACGGAACACCGCCCTTACCTTTCTCTAAAAGAATAAACTTTTAATAAATATTTTGATTCTTAAGTTGGGAAGGGAGTCCACTGAGTGACACAAGTGGACTCCTGGAGACACTGATCTGGGGAAGGCACCGCCGACCTCAGGTAAGTGTGGAAGGGGAGAGACATCCAGGAGCGAACGGGTGCTAACGATAAAGTACATTAACTGTCATAATCGTGCAATTTCTCCACAGTAATAAAGTCAAAACAACCCGGTGTCTTACGTCTGGCAGTGGAACACAAGTAACCCACAAATAGAAGAATAAAACTTCCAACGCTTTGGACCGACTTGGATCATTAACTAGTCTGACCGAGAAGTCGGACCGACACATCAGTCTCCAGTGTGCGGATTATTTATGTATTGCTCCATAAATAACAAAAAAATGGCTCCAGTCACTGTATTGCTTTTTTTATTGTTCATGAATATTGAATTTTTTTGTAGCTCGATCGGTAGCGCACTCAGCTCACACACTGAGGTCCGGAGTTCGAATCTCCTCCCGTACGGCTGGAAAACATTAGGGACGTGTTTCCATAAGACACCTGTTGTTCCTGTTCACTCATCAGTATAAAATGGGTACCTGGGTGTTAGTGGACTGGTGTGGGTCGCATCCTGGGACATAAGTGACTTAATTTGCAGGAAATGCTCAGCATAACGAGCGACTTTCTATATAGTAGTATGTCACTGATGTCAGCTATGGTCTGTATACCTTGTACATGTACTGGTAGTAAATTAAGATATTATTATCACGTACGGTGACACATGAGGGTGACACATGCGGAGGGTGACACACGTGGACGGTGACACACGTGGACGGTGACACATATAGAGGATAGGTTGAACACGAACACATTTCCTTGGCTTATCCTTAGGCTGTCGCCTTGTTCTCTTGCCTTGTAACAATGGACTCCCTATATACGTAGTCGTGGCTAACATCGTGTTACCAAACCGGGACGATAATCGTTATGGTTGTCTCAAATAAAAATATTTTCGTTCTATGTTAAGTTTATTATTTTTCATAGATGGGCATAAACAGGTAACTTGTTCCTTTCCTGGAACCTTAACCGAAGATGTTTCCGTACTGCCCGAACCTGATGAGTGTTCATTGATGCTTCACAAATGCTTAAAATGGCTACTAAAATGGCTACAGAAAGTCTTTGAACACTACTCAAACATTTTCCTGCACCTGTGTACAATCTTCGAACACCCGTGTATGAAAAGCTTCCAACATTTGTGCAGCAGCTGTAAGGACATATGGAACAGCTACAAAAACCGTTGGAACAGCTAAGAACTCGCGTGTAACCACTAGGGAAACACGTTTAATAATTTTGAACAACCGTGTAATAGATTCGAACAGCAGTGTAACAGCTTCGAACAGCAGTCTAATAGCTTCGAACAGCCGTGTAATAGCTTCGAACAGCTGTGTAAGAGCTTCGAACAGCCGTGTAACAGCTTCGAACAGCCGTGTAACAGCTTCGAACAGCCGTGTAACAGCTTCGAACAGCCGTGTAACAGCTTCGAACAGCCGTGTAACAGCTTCGAACAGCAGTGTAATAGCTTCGAACAGACGTGTAATACCTGGAGTTTACCTGGAGAGAGTTCCGGGGGTCAACGCCCCCGCGGCCCGGTCTGAGACCAGGCCTCCTGGTGGATCAGAGCCTGATCAACCAGGCTGTTGCTGCTGGCTGCACGCAAACCAACATACGAGCCACAGCCCGGCTGATCCGGAACTGACTTTAGGTGCTTGTCCAGTGCCAGCTTGAAGACTGCCAGGGGTCTGTTGGTAATCCCCCTTATGTGTGCTGGGAGGCAGTTGAACAGTCTCGGGCCCCTGACACTTATTGTATGGTCTCTTAACGTGCTAGTGACACCCCTGCTTTTCATTGGGGGGATGGTGCATCGTCTGCCAAGTCTTTTGCTTTCGTAGTGGGTGATTTTCGTGTGCAAGTTCGGTACTAGTCCCTCTAGGATTTTCCAGGTGTATATAATCATGTATCTCTCCCTCCTGCGTTCCAGGGAATACAGGTTTAGGAACCTCAAGCGCTCCCAATAATTGAGGTGTTTTATCTCCGTTATGCGCGCCGTGAAAGTTCTCTGTACATTTTCTAGGTCGGCAATTTCACCTGCCTTGAAAGGTGCTGTTAGTGTGCAGCAATATTCCAGCCTAGATAGAACAAGTGACCTGAAGAGTGTCATCATGGGCTTGGCCTCCCTAGTTTTGAAGGTTCTCATTATCCATCCTGTCATTTTTCTAGCAGATGCGATTGATACAATGTTATGGTCCTTGAAGGTGAGATCCTCCGACATGATCACTCCCAGGTCTTTGACGTTGGTGTTTCGCTCTATTTTGTGGCCAGAATTTGTTTTGTACTCTGATGAAGATTTAATTTCCTCATGTTTACCATATCTGAGTAATTGAAATTTCTCATCGTTGAACTTCATATTGTTTTCTGCAGCCCACTGAAAGATTTGGTTGATGTCTGCCTGGAGCTTTGCAGTGTCTGCAATGGAAGACACTGTCATGCAGATTCGGGTGTCATCTGCAAAGGAAGACACGGTGCTGTGGCTGACATCCTTGTCTATGTCGGATATAAGGATGAGGAACAAGATGGGAGCGAGTACTGTGCCTTGTGGAACAGAGCTTTTCACCGTAGCTGCCTCGGACTTTACTCTGTTGACGACTACTCTCTGTGTTCTGTTAGTGAGGAAATTATAGATCCATCGACCGACTTTTCCTGTTATTCCTTTAGCACGCATTTTGTGCGCTATTACGCCATGGTCACACTTGTCGAAGGCTTTTGCAAAGTCTGTATATATTACATCTGCATTCTTTTTGTCTTCTAGTGCATTTAGGACCTTGTCGTAGTGGTCCAATAGTTGAGACAGACAGGAGCGACCTGTTCTAAACCCATGTTGCCCTGGGTTGTGTAACTGATGGGTTTCTAGATGGGTGGTGATCTTGCTTCTTAGGACCCTTTCAAAGATTTTTATGATATGGGATGTTAGTGCTATTGGTCTGTAGTTCTTTGCTGTTGCTTTACTGCCCCCTTTGTGGAGTGGGGCTATGTATGTTGTTTTTAGTAACTTCGAACAGCTGTGTAAGAGCTTCGAACGGCCGTGTAACAGCTTCGAACAGCAGTGTAACAGCTACGAACAGCAGTGTAATAGCTTCGAACAACCGTGTAATACGACTTTTGATTTCGAATATACATTTGTTCAATAACGTGTCATGAGAAAGGCATCGTGTACGTCATACAGTTACTAGCATCAAGTCTTCACACTGAACTATCCTGTAGAGAGAAGTCTTACCTCTCTCAGATAACTAAACTCACTCTTCCGTCTTCATCAAGTAGCAAACCCTTGTTCACTGCTCGCTGGTATTCATTGAGAACATATTTACCAGTGAACATATTTACCAGTGTTCATGGTATATATCCATATTTATTAAAGTTCGTGAGTGTGTTTACCTGTATTCGTGGGGTATTTTCGTGTTTATTGGTGTTCGAGACGTTTAGTAGTGTTTATTCTTTATTGACTGAATTTTTACTACAGAGGTCTCAGTCGAACAGTCTAAGGAGAGCAGATTGTGATATGTCCTCGACTGCCACATTATTAGTCTACTGGAAACCTAACTATATTTCCTGATGCCAACATAATGTACACATATAACACACCTGACAACACACATATATGCGCCATTAACAGTAACTGGAGTCATTGTACTACCTGGTATCTACGTATGAGGCCCAGGGTATATACACCGACAGGTATCTATCAGTGTATGTACCCTGTTATTTTAACCCACCTCCTTATCTCTGTAGTTTGATCTAATTTATCTCTAACGGCCTTGTACAGACTCTACTTCTTTGGAAATAAAAGTATGACAAGAAATATATTACATGAAACTGGTGATCAATATTTTTACTTCTAAATCATTGGATGCGAATGAATTTTGATTATCTCAGTTACTCTGAGCATCATACAGATATTGCAAATGTCTTTGCTCCAGAGCTAAAATATTGTGTCAGCTATACAAAGCTTTCCTTGTGATGGTGGACAAAGAACATTGTTGAAGGCGGCTGAGTTTCCTCCGTGCAGAGGAAACTAGAGCTCCTGGACAAGGAATCTTGACCTTTATCTAGAAAGCACGACTTTCTGGTACGAAAATGAGACTCCCTGGCCAGGGATTTCGGACGTTCAACAAGGTACTCCGGGTTAAGTGCCATGGTGGAGGAGGATCTGGAGGTAATAGTCTTGAATGCTGTGGTACAGATGGAGGCAGCAGTGGAACACCTCCTGAGGGAATCAAGTTTCACCACTTTCCTCCTGAGTAAAGCGTTGTTCTCCAGGGATAACGCATTCGACTGTGAAGGGAAAAAAAATGAACACGTAAATACTTCCGTTGTTCTTGGCCATTTTATGAATACATCAGCATGAAAAAGACCGAACCATTCATTAATGAAATCTTACTTATTTAGGAGTGTATGTCTGTTGGTATGTAGTATGTATGTACCGCTTCTTTAATTAGGTCCTTAAGCAACAGTTCTTCAGAAAGATTAAGAACATCCTTCTCAAAAGTTCTACAGGTTGTACAAATAACGTTAACATGACTCACGAAATCGTTATGACACGATTGCAAACAAATCATACACCTTCCTATGGTGTAGAAATATACCTAGTTGGATGAATCTTATTGTAGCCAGCTGTTCCAGTGGCTAAGGCGACGGTCTAGAGTTTTCCGACTCTCTGATCGCGGGTTCTAACCCAATCCGTGGTATATTTTTTTTAATGGCATTAACGTTATGTCTTAATCTATTTAGGTTGCTCTTTACTCTAACAACACTGCATAATACAGGTTCATAGAACAAAACCAGCAGCTCTATACGACATTGAGTGATTCCATAACAGCAGTAACAACAACGACGACAATAGCAACATTGCATTATTGCATGATGCCACAACACAACAGCACACCTCTGCAATATATTACAACTAAAACACTACGCAATATTGCGTTATGAAACGAAAACGACGATATTAAAACAAAAGCAACTTTTGCAACAATGCATTATGAGGAGACAGGAATATTACTCAACCTTGCATAATACGCTGCCGACACCTCGACAATAAAGACAACTAGATCTATTATATTCGCTGCGACTGCTAAACATATGCCAGAATTCCCTAAGGTAAGTCCGCTCTACGCTAGTGCACGCTACTGGAATAGTGCAGAGTGCGGCATAAGTTGAAAATGCAGTTATAATGCAGCATTGATGATTTTAAGGGAATAAAAATGGTAAAATAGGATATTACTCGACCCAAGTTTAATTAAAAACTCTCAAAGAAACCAAACGAAACAAATATTCTAAAATACACAAGCACGTAAAGTTTGAACCCGCTCGGAAATTGCATTATTTAGTTATCAGAGTGGAAGGACTGAAGTTAATCAGATGCAACACTTGGAAATTATCCCATATAGACCAGTATTATATTTTAACCAGTTTACACAAAATAATGAAACCTAAACAGGACAAAATCAGACCAAAATTCAGGACAAAATCAGACCAGACCAAAATTCAGGACAAAATCAGACCAAAATTCAGGACAAAATCAGACCAAAATTCAGGACAAAATCAGACCAAAATTCAGCACAAAATCAGACCAAAATTCAGGACAAAATCAGACCAAAATTCAGGACAAAATCAGACCAAAATTCAAGACAAAATCAGACCAAAATTCAGGACAAAATCAGACCAAAATTCAGGACAAAATCAGACCAAAATTCAGGACAAAATCAGACCAAAATTCCCTTCAAGTAATTGCAATAAGTCTTATGGAAATTTGAAGTTCATAACATACACTTTTTTATTAATGGTTTCTAGGGGAGAATCTTTATAGGCCTATAAAAGAACATTAAGTTGATTTTTATTAGGCCTGCCAAAAAAAAAAAAAATATCGTGACTTAATTTTGGTCAGGAGAAAAAATTCTATAATTATTTCAGAGAAACCAATATGTTAAAATTGGAAGTATTTCTTTAGTCATAGAGTTGTCAGGAAGTGGATTAGTCTGGCAAGTGACGTAGTGGAGGCAGGAACCATACATAGCTTTAAGATGAGGTATGATAAAGCTCATGGAGCAGGTAGAAAGAGGACATAGTAGCGTTCAGTGAAAAGGCGGGGCCAGGAGCTGAGTCTCGACCCCTGCAACCACAATTAGGTGAGTACAACATAACATCAAGAGATACTTTCCAGTATGTAAATAACATCAGTAAAAGTTTGAAGTAGATCTGAAGAAGCATTTGCCAGTTATTGCTGAGAATCCAGTAAAATTTGTACCTACGAAGCCTAAATTACCACGCTAATAACTAAATAATGCAACTTCCGAGCGGCTTCAAACTTAATGTGCTTGTGTATTTTAGAATATTTGTCTTTTTTGTTTCTTTTGAAAGTTTTTAATTAAATTTGGGTAGAGTAATATCCTAATTTACCAGGAATGAACAAAAGGGATGTAAATAGCGTGGTAAAAATATCTAGCCTAGACAGGACTCGCAGCAATGGTTTTAAATTGGAAAAAATCAGATTCAGGAAGGATATAGGAAAGTACTGGTTTGGTAATAGAGTTGTGGATGAGTGGAACAAACTCCCGAGTACCGTCATAGAAGCTAAGACGTTGTGTAGTTTGAAAAATAGGTTAAATACATGGGTGGGTGTGGGTGGGTGTGAGTTGGACCTGACTAGCTTGTGCTGCTAGGTCAGATGCTGTGCTCCTTCCTTAAGTGTATGTGACTGACCTGACTAGGTTAAGGCATTGGCTTAAGCTGGTGGGAGAATTGGACCTGCCTCGCAAGGGCCAATAGGCCTGCTGCAGTGTGGCATTTATATAACCGTAGGAATGTGCTAAACTTGTAGGGGGTCATAAAGCATGTATGGAATGAGAACCATTAGACATTAATCCTTGCAAGGGGAAGATTAATCCACTTCCATGGACCAAAAGCCCCCCACCAGCCCCAAGGCAAAAATAAAATGCAGTAATGTTAACTAATGCTACACCATTTCGTGATTAACAGTGAGAATATAACATCTCTTCCGTTAAATATACCAGTCGGAATTAAGAAAGATTATATTCAGGCATACAAAAATACATAGAATATCATACATAGAAACATATGTGTAGAGAACCTGGGATAAATCAAAAAAGTCAGTGACATATTTCCGACAGGTTGTTAGGTAAGACACATATGCAACAGTTAGGTATCTTTAAAGATACCTAACTGTTGCATATGTGTCTTACCTAACAACCTGTCGGTATTTCATACCATTTTAATGTTCAATCTGTCAGACACTGCAACACAAGGGTATCTTGGTACAGACCTGCAATCAACTTCGACAACCTCTACTAGTGAGAACGGCTGGATTTGAGAGGGACCTGACCTCACAACATCTGAGTTCATACCTCTTCTAGTGACCTACGTCTCACCTCCTGGCGCTATATAAGGCTCCATCCTGTCACTTCATCTCCATATTGTTTCATACTATGGAACAATGCTCTTCTCCAGACTGAGGGACTGACCACCTCAAAACTTTAAGGGTGATGGACTGATTACATCGTCTTCAAGTATCTTCAGCTTCTATCAAATTTTCTGTACTCGACTGAAGAAGCCTACTGTGTAGGCGAAACGTTTCGAAATAAAGATACCTAACTGTTGCATATATGTCTTACCTAACGACATATTTCCATTGGGGAGACAACAGTGTTAAAAGGAGTTTGCCTTCAGTTGTCATACGGGAACAAAATTTTGGAAATACCTGTGTAAATATGCACAGGGAATCCATGCATTAAAAACAAGTCCCGTGAATCTTGCCAGAGGTACATTACGCAAATATTGAAAATTTAAAGCACATTGAATCAGGCGTTCGAGAGTAATTAAGGAAAACTTTTGAGAAATCAAATGCAAATTTTGGCGAGGATGTTCTGAAAATTGGAGTTTCTCGCCTCGTTATACTTGAAATATCATAAACACACACGCGCACACACACACACACACACACACACACACACACACACACACACACACACACACACACACACCCACACACACACACACACACACACACACATATACGGATTGGGGACACACAGATTGGGAAAGGCAAAGAAGACCGCAGACGGAGTACAGTCTAGGGGGGCCAGAGACTACAAACCTCACTCAAGGAAAAAGATCTTGGGGTGAGTATAACACCAGGCACATCTCCTGAAGCGCACATCAACCAAATAACTGCTGCAGCATATGGGCGCCTAGCAAACCTGAGAACAGCATTCCGACATCTTAATAAGGAATCGTTCAGGACCCTGTACACCGTGTACGTTAGGCCCATATTGGAGTATGCGGCACCAGTTTGGAACCCACACCTAGCCAAGCACGCAAAGAAACTAGAGAAAGTGCAAAGGTTTGCAACAATAGTAGTCCCAGAGATAAGAGGTATGTCCTACGAGGAGAGGTTAAGGGAATTCAACCTGACGACACTGGAGGACAGGAGAGATAGGGGGGACATGATAACGACATACAAAATACTGAGAGGAATTGACAAGGTGGACAAAGACAGGATGTTCCAGAGATGGGACACAGCAACAAGGGGACACAGTTGGAAGTTGAAGACCCAGATGAATCACAGGGATGTTAGGAAGTATTTCTTCAGCCACAGAGTAGTCAGGAAGTGGAATAGTTTGGGAAGCGATGTAGTGGAGGCAGAATTCATACATAGCTTTAAGCAGAGGTGTGATAGAGCTCACGGTTCAGGGAGAGTGACCTAATAGCGACCAGTGAAGAGTGGGGGCCCCTGCAACCTCAACTAGGTGAGTACAACTAGGTGAGTACTCACACACACATACACGCACATATACACACACACACATATACATACACACATATATACACAAACACAACAGTCAAAGGCCAGGTGATCAGGCTGAGGAAAGAAGGTGGGGGACTCACTAGAAACGATCAAGAGGTATGTGAGGAGCTCAACATGAGATTTAAGAAAGTGTTTGCAGTGGAAACAGGAAGGCCTCATGGTGGACAGAACAGAGGGGGACACCAGCAAGGAATATACCAACAAGTGTTGGATGACATACATACAAATGAGGAGGAGGTGAAGAGCTGCTAAGGGACATCGATACCTCAAAGGCAATGGGACCGGACAACATCTTCCTATGGGTCCTTAGAGAGGGAGCTGATATCATGTGTGTGCCACTTACCACAATCTTCAACACATCCCTGGAAACTGGGCAACTACCTGAGATATGGAAGACGTCAAATGTAGTTCCCATTTTTAAAAAAGGAGTCAGAAAAGAGGCACTAAACTA